GTTTATATCATATGATTTGGAGCAATGTGCGATGAGTTAGAAGGAAATTTGTTTGTGCCATTTTTTTTGAACACCACTGTATCTTGTTCGGGTCTAGAGAGAGCTTGAAATGCCTCACGTAGTTTAGCAAACTTTTCTCTTGGAATTCCTTTTGAGCAACCACAACTACAACCTACCTCCAAGAAACGCATGGCTTTTTCGTACCATTGCTGTTAAATTGTTGCCATACCCGTTCAAAGTGAGTAATTCTGAAATGTAATATTGCTTGTTTAAGTGTTCTACAATACTAGATAGAGACACAATACATTACTCACCGCTGCCACCGATACCGTTTACCGCCGTTGAGAAATAGCGGCGCGCGTTGTTTCTGAAAGCCATTTTTAAAGATTTTTGAGAGAGGGGGAGAGTTTTGAGTTTTGAGAGGGAATAGAGATTTGAGTTTTGAGAGGGAATAGAGATTTGAGTTTTGAGAGGGATAGAGCCTTGAGAGATTAAAGAGAGAAATTCGCTAATTCAAAATTCGTATAAATGCGATAACAGTTAGTGATTAATGGTGTGATAGGAGCGTACCTGACATCATTGATATCCATAATGATTGTTAAGGTTGAATTATCTTTTTAAAAAAAATAATGAGTTTAGCCATTTTTACCCAACAATACAGTCACCCCCGTTCCTATTGTAGTATAATAATAGCCACTGGTATAGGACAGCGCCTAATAAAGACCACAAGTATATGACATTCATTACGCTTTTTCGTTTTATAGGATGGATTAAACTTACAGCAGTCTCACATACGTGGTATCCAGCTATTTCTCTTATACTCTTATTAGTAATACATTGGTCTGCTGTTCACGTGCTTACATTTATCGTTGTTATTATCCCCATTAATATTGCTGCGCTTATCCTTTCTTAGAAAAGGGGCGACAATGACTCATGTTACGGTATATAAGTTTATGCACATGAATATACCGTATAGTTCCGAAATAAGCCCCGAAAATAAAATAATCCTTCTAAATGTTTCTATACTGATATGCATGATTACACAAAGGAGGCTATACGGTAGATAAAGTCACGTATACTATCTCAGTCACTGGTTTTACCTGGTGACTGTAATTACATATGACTTGTTTGTTGAAAATTTTACCTTTTCAGTTATAAGGTTTTGATTCAGGGGTTCAACAAAGACCACACAAAACCTCAGCCGATTGTGTGACGATCAATCAACACTAAAATTATCAAGATGCATTATTATTATTGCTTTTCGGATTTACAGTGCACGAAAAAAGTAACGAGATAAAATGTATCATAATAAATTTCGATTTTCTTTGTCATATTCAACCAGTTAAAAAAAAGCTGTACAACACGTGTTAACAAATGTTAGATAACGCGACTGCATTTTGTTTTGAGTTTTGTTACACGTTTCCTAACTTTACATTCAACACACAATGACCAAACCCCTCGCTTAATCAACATTATTATTATCATTATATGACATAATCTCTTTGTGGGAGGCTGGCACGCGTGATGCTGACACTTTGCACAAATCAACTTCTATTACACTTTCCACTACATACAAATATATCAAAAAACTTAAAGATAATACTTCTTTAAACCCTCTGCCCCGATCTGACAGTCCAAAAAAGCTTTCCCCCTAAACAGTGTCGGCATCTCGGCCAGCTTGTCTCAGCAAACAAATACTCTACGAGCGCTGAGCTCGCGAATACTTTAAATGATCATCATCCTAACTTAAATGTTAGTAGTCGGACAGTACTCAATGAGCTCCATAACCTCCAATATCACGGTGAACTGTTCTTGTGAAAATTCGTCGGTTTTTAACTTTAGGAATTACTTTAGTAATTTCTCAGATTTTTGTCGTCGTGCTTTTTTGTTCGCTGTAACAACGGTTTTCAATTTTTGTCGATCCCGCTGATTGAGAGAATGCGCGGCCGACCTGATTGTTTTTACGAATATTTTCCTGATTAGGCTGCAAAAAAACCGTTGAACTGTTGTGCGATGGCATTCTATCATTTTTGCGACTGTTGCATCATTGTAATCTAGTTTTTTGTTGCAATTATATCACCTTTTTGAGAATCAGTAAGCGCTTTGTCAAAACTCATTTATGCGCCAAGATAAAAAACAGTGTGTTTTTTTTTTGTTAATTTTTTTTGTGGTTATCACCTGTTTTATTAAACATGTCGTTTATGCAAATTGTACAAAAGTTAGTTTTTTAATTGCATATAAAAAATTTTCAATATCGTAAATATAAAAGTGTGAATACTTTTGTCCCCCACCCCCCTGTAAATCCGTTCTCGGGCTCATGATGTGAATATAAGGCGTTAATTGGTGCCATGACTTGCGAAATGTATAATATTTTAACAACTTCAACGTACTATCTTTTCGAGACCTGCAATAAAATTATGGTAGACCAATTTGTAACTCGTTTCGACTGCAAAAGTGTAAGCGATTGAGTAATTCGGTTGACATTTCTTGGTAATCCATGAATTTCAGCAACGGTTATATCAATGGTTAATTTTTCCATACCATGAACGCGCGGTATTATACCATCATCGCCAAATGTTTTTCCAAATGATCAACTCCCTCAATAATAAAAGTTCTCTTATTACTGTGCGTTTTCTTTTGTAAACGTCGGCTGGCTTTCAGCTGGGCCATAAAAATATATCTTGTTTGGATCTAGAGAGAGCTTGAAATGCCTCACGTAATTCGACAAACCCTTCTCTCGGAATCATTTTGAGCAACCACAATTGCAACCTGCCGTATTGCTTTTTCATATTCAGTAGAACTATTATAATTATAAATTTTCAAATATGGATACTCCTATATATAGTTTTATGTAATAATAAATTTTTGCTATAGCAAATGAAAACCTCTGGCTTGACTGATTTACTATAATAGGGTTCACTGTGTACTATGACACGACATTAATTTATCACCTTGAGTCCTCAGCAATTTTCATGCTTTTCCTGGAGTTTTACTTAGGTGGATCTATTCAGTGTTTTGAAAAAATCTCACATTAAAGCAAGGCCTGACTAAGCTGTAGCACTTTAATCTTTTTCAAATAATTCTCAAGCAAGAAGTAAAAACCAATATGGATTTAACATTAGAGATCCTTTACTACTTACCATTACTATTACCTCCAATGTATGCCTTTTTTATTTTATGGTCAGCGTTTTATTATAACTGTGCAATGAAACTTAAAAACATTAAACTTTACAGATATGCTCCTAATTGCACAACAAACCAGTTGGCTTATCTTTCTTATATTCGATTACCAACTTTCGAGTATCCTCGTGTCGGACTATCTTACACCTGGGAGAGCAGCCGTTTTGGGATTTAGTTCTTTTCCGGCGGAAACTTTTGCTCTTCCTACTTCAAACTAAATATCTACGCACGTATACAATTAGTGACCTTTAACTAGGATTTATACTCACAATCTGTATTATTGATCGTTCCTGGATTATTGTTTAACCTCAAGTATCTCTGCGATTTCTTTGATGGGATTAGTCTCAAAGCCTATCGAAACGGGGAATTATACTAAACTATTAAACAATAACTCTGAATGCAAAGTACTAAATAGAATTAATCGGCAAGAATCAATTCTATTTACCGTCACCAACGATACTAAGTATCTTTTATCAGGAATAAACGAAATAATAAGAATCATATTTAAATCGGATTTTTATTAGAATAAAAGAGAACTATCCTAATAGCAAAAGATATGATCTGATCTCTGAAGATTCTTGACCTCGAGATGATTTTTAACTATCGGCTACGACTCTTATTTATAACTAGTTATCGTTTCACTACTGTCAAGAAAACTGGCTCGGTGGGGAAATTTGTGTTTGTCAAGAATATATTATCGGGTGATTTTGTGGTTATCAAGAATGTCCCTATCCGGTAAACAAGTGTCATCATAATAGTGGTAGGAATTGTGATAGTAATGGCGCGGTTTGTAGTTGGTGGTTTTGTTGTTGTCGGTAGTTTTGTTGTTGTCGGTAGTTTTTTGTTGTGGGTTTGTTGTTCATTATTTCTGCGCTGCGAAATCTTCTTGACAACTGTGTTACTTGGATCTGAATACTGCGGAATCGGAGGTTTTTCGTCACAAATCAAGTTTTTGACTTGTCTATATACTATTATACCTTCCTCTACTTCATCATCTACTACTACTACATCATTGTCTATATTAATATTCCAGTCAGCGGCCACTTCACTCCAGTGCCTTCTTTCCGCCTCTTCTTCGTCCCACCCCAGATCCGGTATTGTCTTCTTTATCGCGCGGTCCGCCAGGAGTGGTAGGAGTGGTGGGGGTATTTCTTTTCCCAATCCCGATATATAACATTTCCCCACAAACACCTCCCCTCCTGGGCCTTCAGCAACACCCAATCCCTGAGGATTTTCTTGTCCTCTTCTGTATACGGAGTCCGTTTTTTATCAGTCTGGCGGACCTGGGATTATTCAATCTTGATGGCATAGAAATTCGATCGGATTAAGATCTGGGCTATTTGATGGCCAATTTGGACACTGCTGTGCAAGAAGTTCCTTCGTTGCTTTAGCTGTGTGCTTAAGGTCATGGTTTAGGGTCCAAAGATTCCCCATTTTCAAGTTTTTTAATATAATCATATATTGTAGAAAGTGAAATAGAAGTTAATTTATGTAATGTGTTGGCATCTTGAGTACCATTTGCCCATAGAGAGGCTATAGTCTTGCGACGTTGGTCGAACAAAGGCTTTGTGTCATTGTATTTAGTAACAAAAACGAAAAGTGTAAACAAGTAAGACAAATTGCGCAGGAACTGCAAATTTATGTGGTTGCGTTTTTTTGTGCTACGTGCATAAGGCAAAACGTGTTAGATGACTTTTTTTGATTAGACGCGTATTTCGGGAAGAAACAACATTTACTTGACACGCGTTCTATTCCGAAAACTTTTCTCGCGTACTGTAAATTATCATAGGTATTCGTGATTTAACATTTTATGCAGGTTGGATGGAACTATAATGCTTTATGGCCCCACGGACAAACTGGTAACGATTCTCATAATCACTGTGTGGGATGCAGTAACCTCCTTTGGACGTATCCGAAATTCGAAGAAGAAAGCTCGTCCAGCCACAGTAAATCTCACATTTCCCACTCGGGACATCGGTTCATGGCAAGATAGGAGTAGCAAAAACTGGGAGAAAACAGCATACCAAACAAACAAAGAAGCAGCGGATATGAGAAGGAAAATGATGAAGACAAGTACTTAAATGTCCAAACCAAGAAAAAATTAGAGGGTTACTCACAATACTGGGGCCATTGTTCAGAGTCGGTGTACCTTTTAGGGCACTTCATGGAAAGAAAGCTACCCGAAAACACCGTACTGTTTTGTATACTAATACCGAACGATACACCTAAATGGGCAGTTAGTGACTCTATGCCGATCAGCCGGAGCTAGCCAAAAAGCGGACTCAATGAGAGGACCAGACACGAACACAAAACTATATTCAGGAAGAATGCGGCGAGTAAGAGCACAGAAACAGCGCACGCAAGAGTAGAGGTGCGAGAACAGAAATCTCGAAAGTATGAACAAAATCGAGATAATACGACATTCTTAAACACAAACAATATACACAAGATGTGGAACTCTGGAAACTTGCTACTATCGGTAGTAAACGATAGTATCATCGACTCATCTGGCAATTATCCGACCTTGGTAGTCGAAATGATCGCACTGGTCAAATATGGGAAATCGCATTATGCGGTTTCAATCATATAATTTTTATTGGGAGAACTCACTTTGGCTTGCTTTTTCTGGACTGTTATGAACGTGTATTCATATGGGACAAAATGGGTGGTGCTTTTTATTGGGAGAACTTTTTCGAAGCAATATCAAAAAAACCTCGTGGAGTGCAATGGGGCGTCTCATTAGATGGGAACTCGAATTTGGTATTTACATACATTCTGTTTATTCTTTATCTTAATATAACTACTTGCTTTTCTTTTAGATTTGTATGCACCGGTAGAGCGCGATTCTCAACCCGTAAATACCAAGAAAAAAAAGTAAGAAAACAGGCAAGGCATATTCTGGATTTTAAATTTCGATTTATGGATTTATGCTTATAATAATCATATTGGGATAGCTATTCCAGAACAAAATGTATTCTCTGTAATCGTCAAATATACGTGTATTTGCTTTAACAGCATTAATAAAAATATTAAAAATAAAAATAAACCATAAAAAATAATGCTATTAGATATTGTATTGCTGTAATTCTCTCTTGCTCTCGACAAAAGTGGCATGCATAGAAAGACAAATTTACCAAGGTACCGTGAAAATTCGAAATTCGTCCAGCCTAACGTACAAGATACTATGGGGGATACATGTACAATGTTATACCCGTGATTCTAAATACGCGTGGTTTTCTCGTCGTCAAGACGGTTTGTAAATGAAACATTGAATTTACGCCATGTAAATACGCTATGACAATGACGAATACACTAAATAATATACGGGAACGCATGTTACGATAGGCGCGAGTCATCCAGCCCAACTAATGCAATAACTTTTTTGTTATTAGCACATGTACGAGACTAAACCGATATGCTTGATTCGCACTTGTTGGAGTACAGTTGCAAATGCAGGTCCCTCGAAGTAGGTATTCGAGACATGCGTATTTGTCGGAAAGTATGTTCACTTTACGCGTCTGCAGAAAATGCAAATTAAGTGGCAAAAAGAAACTATGAGATATTGGGCCGACATAGCAAGAATCAAAGGCCACCATCTATAATCGTCCGTTTCATACATAACAACCTATTCGAAACGTTGCAAGTCTCAACCAACAATTACTGCGGTAATCTATTAGATATTAGCTCATAATTAAACTTTTTACAAAGCGGGCTAGCGAAGGACTACAAGACACTTTATGCGTTAGACAACTTTAGCACCCAAATAAAAAGCCGATTCTTTATTGTACCACTCAAGTACAAGATTTAATTTAATCTGTGGGAAATTCAGACGAGCACACATTTTGTGAAACTAACAATTGCTTAATGAAGTAATCAAATTCATGAGCTACACAAGCATCTCTTCCACCTTCTCAAATTCTCCGTGATGTCCAGCGAAGAAGCAGGAGAGTCGGGAATTATTGTATTTGATCCTCCTTTATGGAGACAGCGAAGGGCAGTAGTGAACGATACGCTAAGGAAGGAGCGCGTTACCTCTGTGAGTTGAAATGGATTTGTGCTTTTGCTTTAGCTTTTATACTGTGGCGTGAGGCGCTAGCTTTCAACAACTCCATATTTTCAATGGTTTAAGCACAATAGTCGATAATTAATCTGAGCTGAATGACCGCCTTATCCCGTTCCATAACTACAGGTTATTGATTTTGGGTGCGGAGAAGGTCAAATATTGTCTTTGCTGACGTATCCGTATGACGAGTATCCGATCACGCGTCTTGCAGGAGTTGATATTGACGAGGAGGCATTGAACTTGGCAAGAGAACGTTGTCAGCCCGATGAACTTGACATTAATATATCGCCATTGACTGTTGACATTTACCAAGGTATGTATGGGTGGTCAGCGTTGTTCGCTTACATTGGATGTTTTTCGCCATTTAACCCTTTTTGTTTATTAATAATTAGGAAGCATTGATGTGGCAGATAAGAGATTGATAGGATATGAAGCTGTGGTCTGTATGGAAGTGTAAGATATCGTCGCTAGCTGTGTGCGCTGTAACATTGTGTTCCATGTATTAAGCTAATTCTTTGTCTCTCAAAGCACACAACTAACATCCTTTCATAACTATCTTTATCTCGTCTGCTGTATCGTCTGCTTCTCCTGTAATCAAGAATAGAACATGTCGATCCGCCAGTTTTAGACAAGTTCTTTGATGTAGTTTTAGGGACGTATAAGCCACGAATATTGATTGTATCGACGCCCAATGCTGAATTTAATGTCTACTTTCCTCAGCTGAAATATGGAACGCCAGAAGCCAAATTCAGAATAGAAGATCATAGATTTGAATGGACGCGAAAAGAATTTGCTGACTGGTAAGATAGTTATTCTTTAAGTATCATACTAATCACATATCGACTACTATATTACATCATTCCGTATACTACCATTTTATGCAGGTGTAATGCAGGAGCCTTAAAATATAATTACTCGGTTAATTTTGCAGGAGTAGGCATTCTTCCCTACAGTGATCCAGCTGTCGGCACTTCGACGCAAATTGCAATATTTAGAGACTTGTGTTCAACATCTAAACCAACTAACTCGACATTTGGGACATATAAACACTTAGAACAGATTGTCCATCCATATTTTGATGATCCAGAGAAGAGTAATGATGAGATACTTGATAAAATTCATTATTTTATGAAGTATATCATTAATCAGAATCACATAGGCTGCGGCAAGAATAATAACGAGCCTGGAGTCAATAGGAACGGGGTCATTACAGGTATTAGCGACACTATCAATGGCATGTCAACAATAGATTTGGCGCGCAAAAACACGATAGACGCCAACTCTAACTCTTCTCATCAACCAGAAGCAGTCAAATTAGATGACGTCTGGAATATCCAGGAGATTCGGTTATTGTGTCGAAGGAAAAGCAAACTGCGTGAAGTTCTTCTCTCATCGCCGTCTGATTTTTCCTTTTTAAACGAAGATTGTGTGCTTGTATATAAAGAGTATCCTCCTGACGAGGTTGAAGAAGAAGAACAAGAATATCTACCATATACAGAGACTGCTTCATCTCTATGGAATGGAGATACAGGTGAAGTGTATTCAGTAGACGATGGCGGTAATGATAATATAGATTTTGACTATGATTGCAAGTGGGAACACTTCAGCATTGAAGAAACCGTTGATATAGGGTGGGATTAACACCAGATGAGGCTTGTAATTCTTCGACACAAAGTTTAATAAACAGATTCTTGGCGGTTGACGTGTGAATAAGGATTGTGATGATATTGAGCTGCAGTTCTCGTTTATCTTGACATGGAGAAAAAATAAAGCATGTATGATGCAACAATTTATTGATTATCTAATCTGCATAATCTAATAGATGGGAACTGGTTCCTTTAACATATACCGACGCGAAGTACAAATATTAATATTGAATATTTTTATACTATATGCGTACATTTGTCAAACATGATGTGATGGAATTACGATTTTCAGTTCAGACTTTGGGACCTTTGTTATCCATTATCCACTCAAGGTTTTACCCAGCTTAAAAATTCTGGCATGATAATACTCTTATTCATACAGTACGGGATGTTACGCCAGGTCGCTGGCACTGCCGCCAGATTTGAATCTTATTGAATATCTATCGGATAAATTTGAGAATGGGGCGGGTTGAATTTCAAAACAAATGTAGTTCTGCTTCATTGATTCTATGCATGCGTGCTCAAATGAACGGCAAAAAAATTCTAAGATTATCGCCAATTCGCACATAAAACTTAAAAGGATTCGTGACATCTCGTAATCTTCAGTCTTCGATAGCACTAAAGGCAATAGATGTTGTTCAGAACCGAAATTGCTTTCTATTACTACGCGAAAGGTTAAAAACTGCAGTTTGATCAGGAAGAATGTTTCTAATACATTACCAAACGTATCTTGTGTGTCAACTCTGCAGGTTAAGAATGAGAAATCCTTTCTCGTAATATCGATTCAACAACAATATTAGGCCAACAACAAATGTATGATACATTTCCATTGCTTCCGTTTGGTGAAATTGTTGTCAGCTAAACAATCATCATGGTCAGCTTACAGATGCAATCGATGGTTGGTGACATATTCTCGTGGCGATTGAAGCTATACAAACTTCATTTTTGATGCAAACACTATAGAAGTCTCCACGACGTTCATATTCTTAAGAAGTTGCACCTTCGGTGGCGCACACGAGAGTCTCTATAGAATAGAAAAGATTACTTACTCAGCTGGCCTTTAGATAGGAAAGTTTTGGTACATCCGCAGAGTAGTCAGGTATGAGAATTTAGTGAAGGAATAATTACTAATGTCGCGAGACAATAAACGAAAAATAATAGATCTGATTGTGACTATACTGTTTAATGTCGGTTTTAAAATTTCTCTCTGCGCTTTAACGAAGTTATAGTTTCAATTGCATGAAATTCAGGATTGAGCGATTCGCATTTAGAAAGTTTTGTTGCTGATACTTCTCACACATACACTACACGATTAATAATTGGATGATGTTCTATATTTAAACTACAATGACATCTATCAATCGCGATATGATACTTCGTAATTAGATACAGTATTTAATTTTCAACAATACTATGTTGAATGATCAATTTGTATAATCGTATTAGTATGATAGTAAAAAAGCATAGTTAGACAGGAATATAATGACAGAAAATATTTTGATTAAGGACTCTTTAGTCTAATGCTAGCTGATAGTTACTATGGGTATGTATTTATGAAATAACTCTTTGACTGATCTAGCCAGTCAGTCGGCGGGAGATGTAACACAGACGTCACGCTCCTGCAACAAAACCTGGGATAGATAGTAGTTGGGTCAACTAACAGCTTAAACTGGGCTTTAGCGAAGCACCTTGTTGTGAATAAAAGTCCCTCGCGTTAGTAGTTGGGTCAACTATACCGATTACGCGTAACTATTAATCTTTATCAATCTACCCGTCTACAATTCGACGTTTCAGTCACTCGTAGTTTATTCATGTGCACAAATCTTTGTATCAATTATTTTAATAAACTTAACATTTAATACAATATCCGCTTAACTTCTTTGCGTGACCCTTATGGATCGCCAAAATCACTATAAATAGCTAAATGATCGTACGAAAAGTATAATGAATTTTTCAACGTTTAAACTGGAATACGAATCCGATCATATATCGTATCGACACAAATTGATATTGGCGATGTCAAAGAAATGCTTGCTTCGCTTCGATCTATCAAGTGGAAATTTGACTTAGTACACCGAGTTTCGCAGTATTAGTAGAGCATGTAAACGATAAGTCTTCAGTCTTTCGTTGTATTTGAACAGGTCAATGTGACATTCCCTTCTGACTGTTTGAGTTATAATAAGAAAGTTCTCGTGAAAACATGTGATTGGAAAACTATCAGTTATGTTAACATGGCATTTCTGTAAGGCAAATTCTGCTCGGCACGTTTTTTATATTAATGTTAGAACAATGAATGTAATGAACATGCAGATTCTCGTTCTTGCTAAACTATATCGGGATAACTTAAACAAATCGCTAGAATTACCATTTTATTCCGACAGTAAGAGCTCCTCTTCAGCGGGAACATCTGGGAATAACACGCGTTACTATACCGGATATTACCAAACTGTTTATGCCAAGACAATTCGTAGTTTTGGGGCATGGAGATATCTTTAAGACATCTTTTTGCCATAAAAAACTGCGTAATAACATCTGAATTCTGAAACGCTAAAATTATGTTATCCGAGTCTAGCCAAATTTTCCAAAGAGGTTGGAATACGTCATTCATTGTCAAACAAAACAAAAACGAAAAACCTGCTCCCGACTATTTGCCGTTGATTTATGGATTTCATTGGTGCTATTATTGATTAGTAAAGTTTCTTACCGACTCTTGGGTAAGACCCACCTTCTTAATAAAGAGACAGGCGCACTTTTATTTATGACCTTGGCCAAATGCTCTGAGTATTGGGGCCTGGGAAGTATTAATTAGTATGGCTGCAACAATAATTTCCCAGGGTTTAAGAGGTGGCAAGAAAATCAGGCACGAGATTTGATCTTACATCGTGGCATATTTATACTAAATTAAAGCAAGGGAAATCTTATTACTATAGCATCTAATCTCTTTATAAGCAGTAAAACAAGTTTTTTGAGGGAAAGAGAATTGTTGACTATTTCTCAAAACCCAAGGAAATCATAGCGGAACGTTCTGATAATGATGAAATATGAGTTATGTTGCTACAAAAAATCGGCAGTTCATGTGATGCTTGTGCTGTTATTTATTGTATTAGCATACTGTGCCGATGCGCAAGAATATCGATCGTTGGATGGAACAGGAAATAACTGGATTAATCCTTCGGCGGGAGCGATTCTACAACCTTACAAACGACTGAAAACCGTAAATACGTTTTACAGGTAATAAAACGCGTGATAGAAATGGTGAAGAAGATGATGGAGAATGCATATAGTATTGTATTACCAACTTGTATCATTTTTCTCTTTTCATTCATCCTGTTAAATCAGCGATGCCAATCGAACGATGTTACAGACTCCAGCAACTCCAGCGAGTTGTTCTTCCACATTGGCAACAAGTGTTTACCCTTTACCTCGATGCGTTTCAAACCTTATTTCGAGATATGGTATGCCATCGTACGACCCGGCTACAGTGTCCTTCAGTTCAAAGAGGAAAATTAGCCATATGGTGAGTTGCAAGTAAATGAGGTAACTCGTATGGCGCATATCAGACTGACTACTGGAGAATTTGACTCCACCATATATCATGCTATTATATGACATCACTCTAATCCCATCTCACAGGTAACATTTTTCGGCCAATTCATAGTCTTTGATATAGTCAGAACGCTAAGGGTATTCAATGGAGACAAGATATATATACCAACAGATGATGCCACTTACCAAGTACCCGACTCTGCTGCAGCCAAACTATCTACTTTCACTTCCTTACCTTTCAATCGGTCAGCCAACAATTCACCGCCATCGCCCGATGCAGTCGGAACGAACCAAGTTTCTGTCTTTCTTGATCTCAATCAAATATACGGTGAAAGTCCGGAAATATCGAATCAATTACGCGATCAAGGAAGTGGATGCGGAAAGTTGAAAACGAGTAATGGGTCGAATTTTCCTGCATTCGATAATAATACATCAAAGTTTATTACTGGAGGACCTGTAACATCACAGAACATCTTTACGTTAGCAATTACTTCCGTTTGGATCGGCGAGCATAATCGTAAGTGTGATGAGTTGTACTCGGAACACGGAACAGCATGGGATGATGAGAAATATTTCCAAGAGGCGGTTAGTTTTTTGCTATAGATGTTCTAACTAGTCGCGTGTTGAATGGCTTGTTTTACGAGACCTCTGTTGTTTTATCATAGAGGCGATGGACGATTGGGCTGTATCAAAAGGTAGCAACTGAAGAATATCTTGGAGCCATACTTGGTAAACCATTGCTACCATACCAAGGTTATAATGAGCAACTTGTACCAGCAATCGATGCGTTTTTCCTAACAGTGACTCTGAGATATGGTCACTCGGAAATCAGGTATTTATCACGCGTATTGTCAACAATTTGCTGACTGGAGTTTTATAAAAATGGACCATATATTAATCATGCTTTAATAAACGTTCATATAAACACCCTGATTCATAAGCAATACATACAATATGCAAAATATGTACGGAGAAGTGGTAGCTACTATCCCACTGTCCCATATCCAAGATCACACGCTTCTCCCTAAATTCGGTCTTGCTGAAGCACTTCGCTCAATGGCTACGCAGACTCAACAACAAGTCAGCACATTCGTTCCTGATGAAGCAAGAGGATATCAAAATCCGTTTGGCGATTATTTCGACGTTCCCGCGTGGGACCTGAATAGAGCACGGGATTTTGGTGAGTGATTAATAAACGTTTTTGGAATGTGTCATAATATACGCTTATTTTAAAAATGTTTGGATTATAGGTATCCCATTATATAATGACATGAGAGCGGCGTTTGGTTTGTCTAAGCAGACTAATTGGTCTGGGATTACTTCTAATGATGTTGTAAAAACACGACTTCAGAATACTTACGGGAGCATAGACAGGTTGGAAGCATATATTGGTGCATTTAGTGAAGATCCCCTGGATGGATCCAATTTTGGCGAGTTGTTGGCTATGAGTATACTCGATCAGGTATTGCTAACTTAAGCTGGTATTGCTTTCACATTTGTGACCTACTCATGTATGTGTGTCTTACATATAATATAATATGCGCGCATTGTTATATCTTGCATTAGTATTCCCGCCTGCGCGACGCCGATCGTTTTTGGTACGAAAATACCTTTACCGATGAAGAAAAAGTACAAGTTCGTAACACGACATTTCGTGATTTGATTATGCGACATGCAGTAGTCGACGGTAAAGATCTTTTTCCCACGAGCATCTGGAGTTTCCAAAGTGACAGCACACTGCCAAACGCTGTAATTGACTTTGACAAGGCCCAATATCCATTTGGAATCGAACAGTCGTGGCCTGAATATTTAATAAGATGGGGCTTCCAAGATGACGATATAAAATTTATGGTTGATTTTGGCGCGCTTAATGGATGGTTTGGTATGGTAAGTAGATGGAAAAGGTTGCGGGTGTACTAAGTAAATTTTGTAATGACGCGTATTATTAATGCTTTTATATTAGGGCTTTGGTTCTGAAGACGGCGGAATGAAGGGTGCCGATTTCATTATCGCAACTGTAAGTATACTCTACACTTTGGATGTGACATTATCCACGCTTATTTAACGTACGTGTTATTATAGGTAAAAAATGGAAGTGCGACAGTTGCAAATTATATATCGTTGGGATATACAGTACCACAGCTTGACAGTCATCAGGATGTGAAATTTATTGGGACTACTCCATCAGCGTCATCAGTCAAAGTTGAGTTCGCAAGACCACTTGCGGCTAGCTGGTCTAATAGAAAGGAAATTAAACGGGGCAATATGCCATGTAAGATTGAATAGAAGAAGTATATTCTGTGACGTGCTCGCGCGATTAAGAAGATTGAAGCTCTTTCTCGTTTATTTCCGATATGAATAGTTATTATGGCATATGGCACTAATACGGACGTTATCACTTATCATATGAGCAACCGTCGTTCAATGGAAGTTGACTTCTTCACGGCTCAATCTGTTACTTCAACTTACTATAAGCAACGTCAGATAAGATTGGCTCATGGAATTGGAATGATTATTGCTTGGAGGTATATTTTACGGTTCACAGTCTATTGGATTAATCTTCAACTATATCAATTGTTTGCTTATCTTCCTCCTATGACAGTTTTATTTTCCCCATATCTATTTTCGTAGTACGTTTCTATAAACATACCTTTGGCTATCTTCAGCTGCATAGGAATTTGCAGATATTTGGCGGATTCTTGGTCGCAATATTCGGAACTGCTGCCATTGCCTCCATTATAACTATTAAAAAAAGACATAATGTGTATGTTTATCATTTTGTTGTTATTTATCTTATTCTTCGTTACGTCGATTTAACGCATATTTCATTTTACGTAGTATCGGATTGATACTATACAGTTTTACGTTCTTTGAGTTAACATTGGGATTATTTACACTTTGGGGGCAGAAACGTTTCGAGTCTGTGAATGAGGGCATCCCAAGATTTCTAAAGAGAGCGCATCGTTATGTTGGCGCGTCAATGATGGTATTGGCGGTGTAAGTAGAGATGATTGTTACAAAGTAATTCGTTTAGATGTTATCAATGCAAGTCAACCTAAATATGTTTCAATATTTTATACAGATATAACCAATACTTGGGAATTCAACTCTATGCAGAACTGTATTCATAGTAAGAGATGTTAATTTGGTTATTTCCGATCAACTAATGGTTTCCATATTTACATTATTCAAACTGATTTCCCATTATCTGATCTACTTTTAGTAATTCCAATCCCTATTGGATTGCATATGTTATTTACATATCGTTCGTGATCCTACTGTTTTTGATAGCTCAATTATGGCAAACAACAAATGGTGGATGTATATCCAAGCTCCAACGCAAGAGACCTGTAAGTGAAGCAAAGGAGACGTTACAATGCCATCTTGCAAATGAGAAACTTGTTGGTCTACCCGAGTGGTCATGGGATGAAGTGAACGAACGAGTTCAGCGTGGGGTAAGTAGAAAACTTATCGTTGGAGGTGTCTTGGTGTTTAATGAAATTATATATTGGAGCATTACGATCGCATGTAGTGTATCAATAACTTTAAATGCAACCATTGATTTCTAGGCTTTTCTTGTTGTTTGTGATGGCTTTGTAGCTGACATAAGAAAATGGATTCACGAGCATCCTGGAGGAACGAAAATATTGGAAAGAGTCGTAGGAACTGATATCACAAACGGTAATGTAGAGCCAATCAGAATTGTAGATTCCAAGGAGTCATTAATACGACCACTCAACATTAACAATATCTTCTAGATTTTTACAATACTCACAAGCTTACTCAACAAGAAGACGAAGACGATGGACAACAAGACGTACAAATTTATAGTCATGAACAGCCAGCCCCATTAGTTAGTCCTATTTTGGGAAAATACTTTCAACTCTGGCAGCACCACGATAATCAATCCAGCCTCCGTCAACGCAAGGCGCTCTCCAAAGTGATCGATGCGACAAACGTGAAATTGTTCCACAAATTACGATTACCGATTGCAAAACATACCCATTCTGCATTTGCCACAGTTCAGTTCTCAAAAATGATAGTTGCTAAAATTGCCGAAGACCATTATTCATTGGCTTCAGATGAGGACTCTACTAGATTCGAATCGTACTTTCGCCCTCAGTCTCATCCGTATTTCGAACAAGACTTGGCTAAAAGTCTTGGAAGAAGAGTATTTAGGCGGTATCAACTGTCGGACAAGACGTGGGTTAATGCTAGTGAGCAGTATCCAGTGATTAAATTTACTTTCACCAAGATACATCAGTCATGGAGGTTTACAGGGGATAGATTTTTGCCTGGGGATTATGTAGAATTGCAAGCACGCGTAAAGGAGCAAGTAGTTGTGCGATCATATACGCCATTAGAGGGAAGAATGTCGACATCGTTTTCCATTTACGTTAAAGTGTATCCTACCGGTTTAATGTCTCAGCATTTGGTAAGGATATTTGTTGGTCAATTGCTCGCTGTTAGATTTCTTGAGCAAGTATAGACATAATTTGTCATATTGTGCTTTACCACTCATCACATTAATTGATTGCCGTCTTAACATTTGCAGAAGAAACAACGTATTGGCTACGAGGTCAAAGTTAGAGGACCGTTTGATCTGGCTGACCGTGTGGGATACTCGCATCTATCACAGAACGAACTATCTACTATAATGGGAAGACGTCCTCGACTCCGCACTTCTACAATGACGTCAGAAACATCGGAAGCATCTGTCCACATGTTATTGAATTCCGAAAGTGCAGATGGATGTTGGGATGAACTATTCATGATAGCAGGCGGAACAGGCATAACGCCAATGGTCCAGGCATGTCATATTTTCTAAAATGGCGGAATATTATTGCTATCGATGTTTGTTTTTTAACACAGTAATTATTAATCATAACTATTCCCCTCAGTTGATGAAATACCATCTGAAAATGGTAGCAGCAAATGCAGGCCGTAGAACTTCAATGAATCTTCTTTACGCCAATAATTATGTGGAAGACATCATTGATGGTCTTGAACTCGAGGGATATGCCGCCAGAAGTAATGGGATGTTAACGACTACCTACATCCTTAACTATCCGCCTGCAGAAGGATGGGAAGGTCTCCGTGGACGGATTACTCTTCACATATTACAGTCTTGGCTTAACCATCATGATACGATAAACAGACAGCGGTGGCGGCAGTCATCACAGACGCCGGTTGCAACGTGGGATAGGATCTACAATGACTATGCTGTAAGTGACGCTTATGGTCATGCTGAATGTGAGCCTAGTCCTGAGAATGCTGATGGCGAACATGAAGTAGTTGACAACAGTGAGCATGAAGTAATTGACAACAGTGAGTATGAAGTAGTTGATAACAGTGCGCATGAACTGGTTGATCATAGCAATAGGGACATTGGTAATGTTGGCGATATTTCTGATCCAAATATGTCAACATTTAACGAAGGCATCGAAGTCAACAATACAATGACCGATACCCAACCTCCGCAATCAACACTACTAGTCAACAAAAATCCACAGCCTACTCGTATCCAATTGAGGGCACCAAGACCCCTTAGTTTTGTTCCGATCGCGTCGCATAACGACGTGCTTGGAACACCGTTATCACCATCATATAGCCCAACCGTACTGAATAGAAACGTTCAAGCAGGGAGTAGTCCCTCTTGGACACCAACTGCTACTCCTAGTGTGGCGTCACCATGGATAAGTGCTTTTCAGATACCAAAGTCGAAGATTGTTGTGTGTGGGCCAGATGGGATGATGACTACTGTATTTAATATACTGAAGGATCTGGGATATACGGAAGACGATATTATTCTTTTATGTTAATGGTGAAAGTAATGAGAAAAACATTTGAGTGTAGATGCAATTTTTATAAGTTAGTAAACGAATATATTCGTAATTGATAGTATAGGAAATAATCATTTAATGCATGTGCGTGTCCAAAACTTTCAGATATCTATTTCAGAATTCCACTAAATAAATTTATACCGTATATTTTTCATTATAAACTAGTCTTGTCCTAAGCTTCTTATTTGCTATATTTGATCTCGTTCTCTTTTCGCATGTTTAGTTTTATATCTATTGCAGCCTGAAGGAGAAACTTTCTGACAGCAATCAAACGATTTTGGCCGTGCTAGCTTCACCGTTTTTTCAAAACTAACTTTCAAGAAAGCATGTAATAACTTTTTGCCTCTATGTTTTTCTTTACAATTAGTCCATTCAACCAACAAATTTGCATTACCCCATTCCTCACAATCACGAATTGTTATCTCTGTATTGTGCTCAGTCTTACTATCTCGTTTTGAGTCCAATTGTAATTCTACACTATATGCGCCAACAAGGTCATTCATTCTTGGAGTTGCCATTTTATTTAATTAGGGTTTTTTTCTTCGTCGTGGTAATCCTTTGATTCTTTTCTTAAGGCTGGTAATTTTCTCCTCATGCTCAGCAATCTGATTATTTTTGGAATTAATAAAAGTTTCGTTTGCCTTAATTTCCTTGAGAGCTAATCGCAATTATTTAGCAAAGTCAATACAGTGAACCCTCTCTAATATATATCAACCTCACGGGACCGTTAGTCAGAATTACTACCACTTTTAAAACCCTTTTGCCAAGATAAACTAAGCCAATCAATGCTCACCCTCTTAATTGTGGCTCTTTTTGATAAAAAAAAAAAAATCTGTTAATTTTTTTTGTTGTCTCGCTTCGTGTATATTCGATTGAATACGTCATGGCAGATTTTGCAATATTGTAAATCAGAATACTAATTTTTGATATACAGTAAGTGAGGTACATGTAAATAGGAATGAAATCTGGATATATGTTGATAGGGATATCACAGGGTATGATATCAAAATTGATATATGCGGGGGAATTTATATACGTTCTGTAACTACTGTTGCTAATACTAATAGAGAGGAGAGAGGTTGATTTTAACGGGGTGGATATTAGAGAAAGTTCACTGTATTTGATTTTTTAAATTGTCGATTTTATTCTCTTTAATGGAGATGGTACAATCTTGCCGAATTAACTCTCGGTTGGCGAATTTTTTTTTATAATTCTTCCCGCAATTCTATATTTGATTGTGCGAGTTGCACGAATGCTGGATCTAGCGATTTGTTTATATTTTGAGAGAAGAAAAATGACTGATAATTCTAAGCCGGTGATTTATATTAACCCTAAAGAAGAAATTCGAATCGATTCTTTATTATGGGCCTCAAGTCATTATCGTATCGCTGAAAAATCGCGCGATACGTGTAAGAAAGCCGAAAATAATTCTTCATTGGCTGATGAGACTAGACAAACGGGTGATACATCAAATTCATAAGCCCCGCCCACTTGAATGCTAGATTTACCACATTAGAAACTCTCTCTCACTTATGCAAATTTATTTCTCTGCGCTCGTTTATTGGGCAGTGGAATATGTAGTTTGATAAATAAATAGCAATTACTTTTTTCGAGAAAATTAATTGCTTGGAAGGACAAAAATAAATACAACTTGCTAACTGGCGTGTATCAATAATTCTTAATATTATTTGTATTAAATTTATTTATTTCAATGTTGATCTGAAAATAAGTGCTTCTACTCTATATATAGATCCCGATGAAGAAATGACTCTATGGTGCGGGCCAATGTTCTATCAACCTACTGGTTATCACTCTTATCCTCGGAAATTATGGAAGGATCTCATAGTCAAAGGTTTCATTGATAATATTATTCATACTTTATTAATTCATTGGCAAAATAAAAAATTTATTGTGTATAGAGTAAACTGTGAATATAGAAAAGCGACTTATCTATATTACATTTTCTATGGCAAATATTCAATGTCCGTTACCTTGCAGAATTAAATATATGTTCTGGCCCGTAGCGAAATATGTTCTGGCCCGTAGCGAAATATGTTCTGGCCCGTAGCGAAATATGTTCTGGCCCGTAGCGAAAGCACTTTGCCCGCTGTTAGTTCACAAATCGACATTCTTTTGAACAACAAATCCAAAAAGGAAAGTATTAATTGACTATTGTTACACGATTTTTTAATATTTCGTCTATTTATACAAGAGAAATAGAGCTTTTATTTTATTTAGTGAAATAGACGCCCTGAGATGATCCCTGAAATAATTTGGCACTTTATTCTTTTATTTCTCAAATGCAACATTTACCTGATTATAATTTGAATTTGACGATCTTTTGTTTGTTTAATATTAAATATGTTGTACAGTTCTAGACTGAGATGACTGAGTTCTGGACCGAGACAACTGAAATGTCTGAGTTCTGGACTGAGACAGCTGAGTTCTGGACTGAGAAGACTGAGTTCTAGACTGAGATGGTCCCGAACTGAGATACAACAAATACTAAAGACTTCTATTTTATCTCTTCTGGAACAAATTTATTTGTTAAAACCTTACATATGACAAAAACCCGCGAATTAACTGTTTGAGAGAGGTGAGATTATTGGACTTCACAAGGGCAAACACAATCCCACAGAAATTTCCCGACTGCTTAAAATACCCAGAACAACCTGTGATAGCATAATAAAAACACTTAACTACAGGTAAGTTGTATTTTCTGCAAAGTTATGTTATTATGGTTATGATTCACTCTTCGTCAGATGGACAATTTTAGGGTCAATAACACTATAATCTTTTTTTTCTCTGTATTAATATTAATAGGTTTCCACCCAGTGACCGGAAAATCGACCTCGAGGGAGGGTGGCATGGATATTTTATTATAGTTCACGCCGTGGTAATTGGCATTATTATTATCCTTCTTGCTTATTTTTTTTTATTTATTATTGGCAGCAATTAAGTTCTCTCTACTCACATTTTAGATTGGGAATAGGGTAACAGTTGAGGATGTAGAGGCAATGGAAAGAGCACTAGCAACATACCATAAAGTTCCTAATAAGATTGGTATCTTGCTTGCTCGTTCCAAAGATAAATTCACTGGAGAAGTGAAGATGAGAGCAACAAAGTTATCCAAGTATGGCATTATCTTAAGTTTGAAAAAGATAAAACTGTAATCCCCAACCCTCGTAATAGTAGCGGGAGACCACTCCTTTTGAAGGCAATTGATAAACGCCATTTTATTCGCACTGCTGTTGTTAATAGAAAGGATTCCGTAGACAAAATAACTGAGAAGTTTAACAGCTTAAGATTAACTGAGTTAAGTACAATTATTGCAAGACGTGTTTTTCATGAATATGGCTACTATGGTCATGTTGGACTGCAATGGGATAAAGAGTGGGACAACGTAATTTGGAGTGATGAATCACAATTCCTTCTATTTGAAAGCATTGTGTATGGCATAAACATCATGAAAAGTATGATATAGATTGCATATTTCCGACTATAAAAGACAATAAGGTATAATGGTTTGGGGGCATTTTACAAAGGATAAACTTGGTCCTTTAGTGGTGGTAGAAGAAATGATTACAGGAAGAGCATATATAAATTTGTTAGAGGAGAATTTATGTAAGATCTTGATGATGATATCACTTATACTTTCCAAGATGATAACGCTGTTATCAATTGGAAAGAAGAAATTTTATAACTTCTCTTCCTTGGCCAGCACAAAGTCCAGACCTTAACCCAATTGAACATTTATGGGATATTTTGGGTAGAAAAGTGCATGAACACAAACCTCATCCAAAAAATTTAAAAAAACTGGTACAAGAGTAGTTGAAAATTTCTGCAAGTGATTTAGAAAAATTAGTAGATAGTATGCTCCGTAGAGTTAAGTCTGTTATCAAAAATAAAGGAAATCCCACAAAATATTAATGTAATATTCAAAAAATTCATATTGAAGCGATTCAAACAATATGAATTTTATTATATGTTATCAACACAGTTCATCATTATGTGTTTTTTATTATAGGGAGTTATCTGGCAGGAATCCAAGAACATTCACTTTCATATAATCAACTGATTTCAGACCAGTCAATACTACAATGTAGAACTTACAAGTTTTCTATCATTGTGTGTGTGTGGAATGAAAAAAAAAATTTTTTTCCCGCTTTCAAGACGGGCCATAATAGAACTTCCTCTTGACTTCTACAGAAGATAATCGGAACACAAGCGTAATTGTTTTTAATATGTCACAAATGAATCATAAATCGTTAAAGCAGCCAGCTTTGCATAGAATATGGGCTCTTACTATTACAGCACAAAGTCAATTATACACATTCTATAAGAGGCTACTATTCATATTTCTATTGAATATGTCCATTAAGAAGATATTTATCACGCATGTTTCTTACGTTGTGTGCAGCTGTCTCACGCGACAGTTCTTGTGTCAATTAAGGCTTTTCTACAATTAAGAAGATATTTTCTCTGCCATTACATGATATCTGCTACTTCAAGCGAGTGTTCAATCTCTGCATAAGCAGACATCGCGAAGTAACAAGTCATCTCCACGCTCGAATTTACGTGTCCTTTAAGAGGCCTTAGACACAAAGTGAAAAAACAAATCCCTCATCTAATCGGCAAGCTAGTTGTACTTGTGTAATGTTTAACCCGTCACACACATTCAAACAATGTTTCGATTATACAAAGTATATGCGCCAAAATGTTCGATAAAATTCTTCCAGAATTCGTCGCTTCGATGGGAGGGGTTGGTTAATGTATGGAAATAGTATATGTTTACGGCGTCTGTTGCTTGCGTTACGGCGTTTGGATTATTAAAGTTCTACCTTCAGAATCTGTAATGCACTCCGATTCTACAATACCACGAAACTAAACGATTTTCTTAAGCAAACCAATATTACCCCGTGCAGATACAATTAATCGGGCCTTCTCCATTCGAGAAATATATGCGGCGGTTATATTTGAGCGTTCAGTGATTTATTTATCTTTTTGCGAATCAAAAGCGTGTTTAAGTTCATGATGCCGACGTCAATCTCTTCTTGCAACTGGTTTTTTGACGCCTAACAAACGACCGAAAGCAATCTACAATCCGTTATTCAAAGCATTGACTTGAGGTTCTTCTTCGTCGTCGCGATCTATCTTGATTATCTCCCTATCGAGCAGTTTAAGAAATTTAAGATATTTCGTTATTGTGACTTGGAGAGTTATCCCTGGTTAGCGTTGCCTCCGAATTAGTAGAAACGGATTTTTGCTTAACTAAGTATACTCATAACAAGGAACCTGGGTAGTTGATCTATCAACGCAAGTTTTTTGCGTTTCTTCTCGATAAGGAGCCGAGTTTGGTTATCAATCTATTCGATAGTCATCTTATATGGTTAATTATATGTGGAGCGCAAAAGAAAATGCAATGGTATAATAAATGATTTACAAAAACCACACTCTCGCCACCCATGTGGTTAAGCGAAATATGTGGCCTACCTTTGTACGTGAAAGGTTTACCGCCCATGTGGCTAAGCAAGATCATTTCACGCACACCTCTGCCGGTATGATCACCATGTGTTAAACCAAGCCGGCAGGCGATACGAAGAAGAGGTCACCGTCCATGTGACTAAGTGATGGTCTCCCTTCGCACTTCCAGAGCGTCCGTCGTCCATGTGACTAAACGGACATATGGGAAATTGTATATAGAAAATCGTGTTTTGGAGTAACATTCGTAAAAGTATCTCTAACAAAAATAAAAATTAATACATCATCTAGTAGTCTCGCAGATATTAAAACATTGATTTATTTGTCCTAAAATAAATCCTTCCTCTGTAATCTGTTTTTTGCGTTTCTTCTCGATAAGGAGCCTAATTTGGTTATCAATCTATTCGATAGTCATCTTATATGGTTAATTATGTGTGGAGCGCAAAAGAAAATGCAATGGTATAATAAATGATTTACAAAAACCACACTCTCACCACCCATGTGGTTAAGCGAAATATGTGGCCTACCTTTGTGCGTGAAAGGTTTACCGCCCATGTGGCTAAGCAAGGTCATTTCACGCACACCTCTGCCGGTATGATCACCATGTGTTAAACCAAGCCGGCAGGCGACTACGAAGAAGAGGTCACCGTCCATGTGACTAAGTGATGGTCTCCCCTTCGCACTTCCAGAACGTCCGTCGTCCATGTGACTAAACGGGCATATGGGAAATTGTGTATAGAAAATGTGTTTTGGCCTTTGTGCGTGAAAGGTTTACCGCTAAGCAAGGTTCATTTCACGCGTGTTAAAGAGGTCACCGTCCATGTGACTAAGTCAACAAAAAACTGCTGCACATGACCGCTTCGATCTACAGTCACATGGTCGTGACCTTCAAAGTGACATATTTCCTAATAAAGGCCTTCTCAACAGCTTTGATGCCCGATCAAATTTGGAAATCGACGATAAAAATGGAAGTTACTCGATAAGTCGGTTTTGGCCTAAGTCGATCAAGCTTTTTTTTCCCAGTATTTAAAAGACCTCGATAAGTCGGTCGACATTAACATATGTAAAGTCGCGATAAGCTGTAAACCTTCTTTAATGCTATTACTATGTAAATTACACTCGATAAGTCGGCTTCGGGGAGATTGAACCAATTATTAGATGAAAACAACCATTATTATTATACTTTTATTTTACACCACTAATTACTCGCTAATTATATTGAGTATATAAAAGTAGACAGTTCATTCGTTTCAGGATTAAGAGACTTAAAATGGAAAATTGAAAAAAGAGAATGACTTCTTCAACGCAAACTAGCATGGATATTTATTAACATATGGTCACGTGGTTCTCGATAAGTCGGTTCTCTCGTCTACCATGCCCAGCCATGTATGGCTGACTTATCGAGTTTCCCTGTGTATTTGGTGGGGCATCAAGGGGCATCCTAATCCCTAAATTGGAAATTGTTTCTTTTTCATATGAACATAATAATAATTCAAAGACATCTCATGAGATGTGACAAGAGCAGTACATGGTACATGGGATAGAACATACATTATTTATTAACTTGAGTCAAGAAACCTTTCTTTTTTACCCTTTGGTTTCTCTATCCAATACAAACCTCCTTTGGTTTTATTCACCAAATCAAAACTTACTATTACTGCTTCGCTAATTCTTAACCCTGACTTATGACATAAAAGAAATGAACTCCCCTTTTGCTTTCTTTTTTCCTGTTCGGAACCAACATGATTTTCCTCCTAACTTTTTCAAGCAGTTGTAAAAAAACTCACTAAATTCGGTGCTAAACTTACTGCTGATTATTTGCCTTGCTCTTTTACTCATTCTTGTTTATTATTTACTCACAATTTTTAGTATGTTTAGCAAATAGTTAAAAAGTAAAACAGCTTTTGTCTCAATAGAGGATTTTTTTTTTAAATAGTCAGTTTTATTTTTTGTATTCTTTATTATTTTTTTTAATACTTATAATTTCGTAGAACCAAGCAATTTTAGATTATAACAAAATATTACCTGTAAGAATAATTCACGCAAAGTAGTTGCTTGAGCCATTAAAAGAGTGGTTGCAAAAATCTCATTATTTTACTAGATGAGTTAGAAAAGATTACTGATGAACAATTCAGAGGAATTTGATAGAATTGTTTGCCATGTATAAAAATGAAGAGGGAGGCAAACAAAAAGAGGAAAGCAAAGAGTTATTCGATAAATATTATGAAACGAACATGAAATTAGACCACTTTTTTTTTTGCTACTGTCAATTATCCTAAAAATTTGGTTCCGCTCTTAAAAAATGGTGTGAACATGCGGGTGCTAGAGGATTATACTGACGAAGAAAAAAAAAGCAATTCGCCTTGTTGGAATAAGGTCATTTCCTATTTTTCAAAAAAAAAAAAAAAAAAAAAAAAAAAAAAAAAAAAAAAAAAAACAAAAAAAAAAAAAACGCGGTTTTTGTTTGTTGGTTTGT